GAAACATTTCATTTTCGTATAAATCCCCGTTTTCATAACGTTGTTTTTCTCCATGGGTTTTTCGTTTTCCTCGAATGCCCGCAATGCCACTTTGAATTCTGTGTACGATGGCTGCTTGTCTTTTTGGGTTATAACCGTGTTGAATGCTTTAAATTCAAGTGGCAGTCCCTTTAAGATCATTGCTATCAGTAGAGCATCGCCAACTTCTTCACCGGCATTCTTTAATGCCGCTGTAGCCGCCTCGGCCCGCAACATGTAATCGGTTACACTCTCGGCTTCGCCTTTGTTAAGTGTAGTCAACTTGGTGTATAGTGCGATGATTTTTGGCTTTCCACTTGACATATAATGCTCTCGGAGTATGCTTATGGCCTTTTTACCATCGTCCTTTGCATCTCTCATCACCAATGACAACGATCGGTCGTCTAAAACTTGGATTAGTTCCGCATAAACATCTGCGTTTTTCGCTTCATTTGGTTCAGCACTCTCTACCGTTTCTTTCAATTTTAAAATGTGGAGATATCCCATAAATTTCGTCTCCCATAGCTCATATTTTCTCTCGTCTCCGTTAAAAAGTATCTTCGCCCTGGGCCCATAACCTGTTGAGGACGCCATATAAGCTTTCAGACGGAGATTCCTTTAGATTAAATTGGGATTGAGTCAAAGCACATTTCTCTCTAGGATCGCCATTACAGAGTATCTTTTATTGAGTTCAATACATGGACATGACACGTGACATTAATTACATACATTTAGAATATATTAGTTTATAGTTTTACAAATTTAGTTAAATATATTAGTTAAACCCAATTGTTGTAAATAATGCGTAATTCAGCCTGGCGACTGTTAAATTGAAACGTACAACGTACTCATGTCTTGACTGTAAACACTTTGGATGGACATCCTAGTAAATCTCCTGTACCTTCACTTCATGGTCACTAGAGGCAGGTTATGAAGATGGCCGCCAGTTTTTAAGTACTATTTAAAAAACGAGCAGAAGTGTTTTATTAGGTTTAAAGCCACGGGCGCGCAGCGCGAGTGGCTTTAGACCTAATAAAACACGACCCGCGAGTTTTTTAAATGACTTCAAAAACGTATGCATAATAAGTCAAATCTTTATATAAAAATCTTTATATAAAAACCTTTATATAAAAATCTTTATATAGTTTGCATAACAATGGTCTTTTGTTAAAGTGTTCTTTAGCTGGTATAAAGACGTATGCACGTGACTCATTTCTTACTCAAGATTGGATAATTGCTTCATGAATTATTAATGAGTTTTTGAAATAACCGTCACATTCACATTCATAGAGACTTTACATTCCATTCTTAATTTCCGGCTTGTTATTCCATATTAACGAATAAAATCAAGCGGAACGATAGACATTATAAATAGAGGTGTAATGACTCTTGCCATATACTCTGATGAAGGCTGGCAGCATGCATGCAGTATATATATATATATATATATATATATATATATATATATATATATATATATATATATATATATATATATATATATATATATATTATGTTTTACTACTTTGCAATGCAACATTTGTCCTACCATAACCCTAACCAATGACCCGTCTTCATATGTACAGCGAAATGATTTGAACACATGGTTTTTTTAAGAACTTGTCTGGGGGGTGGGCATCTACAAAAAGGGACCATACTATATTGAGTGTGGAGAAATGATAGATGGTTGTTGATGACGAAAAGTTTGGCGTGGTATCGTATGTACTAGTAGATGGGTCTGGGGGTATCTGCCCCAGAAAAGTTTTCCCATTTTTCCACCCCTAGAACTGAAATGTGAGCATTTTCTGAAACAGATTTTTGGATATACAGCGTTACATTGTGCGTTGATACACCGAATCTGATCAGTTAAGTGTACTTGCATGGTATGTTTATGTAAATACCACACCTGGGTCACTCAGGGGGTAGAAAGCTTGTTAAACTTAGTGGGCCCGACTTGCACGATCGCGAGGCGCTACTATGGTTGGTTTGAAAATTTTGAGTCTCTAGATCGTTGGAAATAGCATTTTCAGAGTCTTCTTTTTTTGCCATTTGTGATTATAGAAATCAGAACTCTAGACTTGGTATTTAAGTTCAAAAACTATTATGACCCCCCCCCCATTCTCTGTGTTAAAACGTTTTTGACCCCCCCCCCTATTTATAAGGGTAAAACTTC